CCACCATCCCTGTGGGATCAGCCCAGGGCACGGGGGGTTCTGGGCTGTTCCTGCTGTGCTCTGTGCCGGGTGTTGGGCTAAAAGCAGTTCAAAGCTCAGTCCCCATGCAAACTTCTTATGTAATAGTGTGTTTCATAAATTCTATTTAATCTTACTTGGTATAAAATGACCTTGTAGATTTAGGAGGGAAGTTTGGGATTGCAGCTGCTGCCTTTTTAAAAGTCTAAATATAAACAGGTTTTTGGAAAACATGAGAAGTGATCAGTGGAGTTGTTCTGATTGGAATTGAAAGTCAGAACTGTGGCATCTAATTACTGTCAGAACAGTTTGAGAGGATGAATTGGAGTGTTCCTGCTCCTCTGGTGTAGCCTCTGCTGGTAATTCTTGTAGGCAGCTTCGGGAAGAGAAGCTCAAATCCTGGGGACAGGTCTGGGATCTCAGACAGGAGACACAGGGAGGGGCTGGAGTGTGTGCAGGGAAGGGAAGGGAGCTGGGAAGGGGCTGGAGCAGCAGGAGGGGCTGAGGGAGCTGGGGGGGCTCAACCTGGAGAAAAGAGGGATCAGGAGGGACCTTTTCCCACCCCACAACCCCCTGACAGGAGGGGGGAGCCGGGGGGGTCGGGCTCTGCTCCCGGGGAACAAGGGACAGGAGGAGAGGGAACGGCCTCCAGCTGTGCCAGGGGAGGCTCAGGTTGGACAGGAGGAGGAATTTCCTGCTGGAAAGGGTGGTCAGGCCTTGGCAGGGGCTGCCCAGGGAGGTGACACAGTCACTGTCCCTGCAGGGATTAAAAACCATGTGGATGTGGTGCTTGGAGACCTTCTTTCTTAGTTGGTATGACAAGTGCAAACCTTGTCTGTGCTCTGTCAGGATGGTCTGTGCTTTGCTGAGCTCTCAGAGTCCTGGTTACACACTCCTGCCAAGTCCTGCCTGTGGCTCTTCCACGTCCCAGATGGAACAGGGATGGACCCTGTGAGGAGACTCAGCTCTGAGAACTCACCTTTCACTGCTGGTGAAAGCTTTGTGTGCCTTGAACCAGCTCTAAGACAACGCTCTGAGGGACAGGAGGGGATTGTTGGGGTGTCTGTGCAGGGCCAGAGTGGTCCTTGTGGGTCCCTTCCAGCTCAGGATGTTCCATGATCTTACCTGTGGTCCCTGGAGGTGACCTCAAGTGCAGAGCCTCTGAAGCCCTGGTTGTGTTGGTCTCCATGCTCCTCTCCCATTCCAGAGGGCCTGGATGTACCTGAAAATTCTGTAAAAGAATTAAAAAGCCACTGTTCTGTCTCAGCCATTGATGCGGAATTGCTTTTGTTTTTTTTCTTTTATTAAACACTAATTACTTATTTATGTGTTTGTTTATTTTAGGGATAGACTTCAAGATTAAAACTGTTGAATTGCAAGGAAAGAAGATCAAGCTACAGATCTGGTGAGTGACACCCCCCCAGAGCCTGCAGGGGTGGGCTCCTGCAGCAGCAGGTCCTCCTGAGGAGGGTTTGCTGCTCCTGGGAGTCCAGTTTTCCAGCTCTGCTCCGTGTTTGCAGTGGTGGCAACGCTCCCTGGGTGTGTTTTCGGGAGGTGGATCTGCAGCAGGGCTGTAACCACAGGTCCTGCTGCTCCCTCCAGGCCCTGCCTGGGCTCTGGGAGGAGAGGATCCTCGCAGGCTGTGATTTAGTGGGAAGTGGTTTAAAACTGGAATTTTTTAAATGAGGAGTTGCCTCCGATCCGTGACTATAAATTGACCTGCAGCCCTCCTTTGTGTCAGCAGGAAAGTGCAGCCCACAGCTCCCCTGGGCCTGTAATTTTCCATGCTCAGCTGGGGACAGTCCTGCAGTGCCTGGAAACAGGGCTGTGCTCTGTGGGGATGTCTGACACGGGGCACAACCTGAGCTCCTTCCCTTGCACTGAGCTGGAGATCTTTCACCCTCCAACAGCTCAGGGCAGAGAGCTGGGGGCTGTTCCTGGCCCATGGGAGCAACCTGGGCTAGTGGAAAGTGTCCCTGCCCATGGCAGGGGGTGGCACTGAATGGGCTTTAAGGTCCCTTCCCACCCAAACCACTCTGGGAATCGCTGATTAAACTTAAGAAAATCCATCATGAGATGTAAAAACTGAAAATATGGAAAAATGAGGCTGTTTAATGCATGTCTGGGTAAAGAACAAGCTGTAATGGAGCCCTGCACACCCTGGGGTTTAGTGCCTTGGAGAAGTGAAGAGGGGCTGGGGGAGCTGAGATTTGTCCAATGGCAGCTTTTGAATGTCCCAAAATTGGGAAGTCGTGGCCCGGTTCTGCTGCTGGTTCCTGCCAGGTTCAAACTGCACGTTTGAAATGGAACTTGGAAAGCAGAAAACGAAGCTCCTACTAAAAAAAAATTAATTAAATCTCAGCATTGTAGTTTCCAGCTTGTCCTGTAGCAGTTTTGCCCCGCAGTGGCTCGGTGCCTGGAGCAGCAGTGTCCTGGGAAGATGTTTTGTGCAGGCCTTGTATTTTCCCCCTGCTTGCTGTGTTTGAACTCACCCCACACGTGTAGGAGCTGTGTTTGGTGCTGCCACAGGGATGCTTCACCCCCAGGCAGCAGTGAAATGACTGCAGTGTTGTTGAGGCTGTTCTGGGAGCTCCTCTTGCTCCAGCACCAGCACTCGGTCTTGTTAAACCTCCTGACATTCCCTGGGACCACTCCTCCTGCTTGTCCAGGCCCCTCTGGACAGCCCCATCCTCCAGGTGTGTTCCTGCACCACCATTCCCTTCCCTGCAGGGTGGGACAGCTCCTTCCCTCTCCTCCTGGCTGTGGGAGGTGAGCACCCAGCAGTGCCACGGCCTCTGAAATGTCTGTTTGGGAGTAAAGCAAGAACGCCAAGGTCAGGCTCAGTTAAACCCTCCCTGCCAGGGGGGAGAAGCAATTTGATCCTCCATAGCTGTTAAAATTGGGGTTGTTGCTCAGTAAGGATCAAGCTGGGATTAGGATGTGTTTTCCCAGTGCTCCAAATGGAAATGTGCCTGTTGCAAAAGCGGGTTGGAATAAGGGGCCGTGGAGAACTGGGTGGCAGGTGGGGCTGGGGCGGTGCCAGGCTGGGTCAGGGAGCTTTGGAACAGTCCCAGGGTGTGAGGAGGAGGATGGACACTTCTCCTGGGACTGGCCTTCCAGGGGAATGAGCTTGCCCAGGACAGATCCATCAGGAGAACCCCTGGTGTGTCAGATCCCGTGTTGGAAGCACGTACAGAAACTGAGAATCTTCTTGGTGGGGTTGTTGTGCCACTGCTGAGTTTGGGAGAACTGTCACTCAGGATGGGCTTAGTCCAGGATTTGGGAGAATCCCAGCAAAGGGTGGGACCTGGAGGGGTTGACACAGACAAATGTCTTGAAAAATATGAATACAGTAAAGCTCCTAGTGCAGAGAGGGGAGAGAGAATAAAGGAGCAGAAGGAGAGATCAGTGCTCCAGGAAAAGGTGGTGTTGGCTTTGGGAAAGCACTGAAGGCCTTCAGAGGAGCAGAGCAATGGAGCTAAAAACTGAGTGTAACATCCCACACTTCAGGAACTCGGGCAGAGTTGCTTTGAAAGGGAAACCAAAAGGCTGGGGCACAATGTAATTCCCTGAACTCATCAGCATAATGGAGCCATTGAGAAATTAAACGTGATTTTCCTGGTGCCGCCTTTCCAGAGGGCAGGAAGTGAGTGTGACACACGGGTCTGATCAGCACTGCCTGGGGAGAAAGGCACTGCTTTAGGAAGGACAGCTGGAAGGATGAGGATTCCCCCAGGATGTCAGAGCACACCTTCAAAACCACGAGGACACTGAAGGGGTGGGGAGGGTCTGATAGAACCCGTTGCCTTTTCCAGCACCAGAACATCAGTTCTGGCGTGAGGTGGCACGTGGGGAACACAAGGAGATGAAGTTGTGCTGGGAAACCCCTCCCAGGATGTTGTGGTGGCTGTGGGGGCACACAGACAGGCTCACAGGGGGTTTCCCAAAGGAGCAGTCTGGTTGGGACACTTCAGTCCACAGAGGGCATCTCTGGCTCCAGAACTCCTTGAACCACAGGGAAATGGAAGCTGGAAAACCTCTGGCCTGCCCAGGTACAGCTCTGAGGTGCTTGTGAGGAGGCACAGAAAGCAGAGCTGGGTTTGTCACCCCGCTGAAGCACAGCCTGGAGGAGTATCACTGTCATCTCAAAATCTAATTCTTTCCCTTTTTTCCTACTTAGCTGCTCCTCCAACTCTCCTGTCTGTGGTAGCATTTGTGTGTCAGCCTGTTTTCCTGCAGTCCTGCTGACTGATTCCAAATTTTAGGAAGAGCTCTGCGTTTTTAGAATGCAGCTCTTAACTGTGTGGGAGGCCACAAAGTAACATTTCTCTCTCAGTGCATCTCTTCTGGCAGCACATTTGCGTGGCCAGAAAAGAGTCCTCCCAATCTGGTTTTATTCAGCAGTTGCAGGAATAACCCTGTGCCCTGGGCCAGCAGTGCAGGTGAGAACAGTGTGGAGCAGCTCTCCCAGACCATTCCAGGTGCTCCCAGCTCCCCTGCCCCGGTGCCATCAGCCTCAGGAATTCCTCAACTACCCCAGGAACGTCTCCAAGTTCATTCTCTGTGCAGAGGGCTCTGGAGACTGTTCAGTGCATGCAGGGCTCAAGATGGGAGATGTTCCTTTGGCAAGTCAGATTCTTCTCTGCTTAGAGATTTTTTTAAACTTTTTCCTGTCTGAATATTTCTCAGAAAAGCTGAAATTTCTATATCCTGCAGAATCCCAGAGTTATTGGGTTGGAAAAGCCCTCCCAGCCCATGGATCCACCCTGTGCACCATCCCCACCTTGTCCCCAGCCCAGAGCACTGAGGCCTTCCTGGGACACCTCCAGGGCTGGGCACTCCAAACCTCCCTGGGCAGCCCCTGCCAGGGCCTGACCACCCTTTCCAGCAAGCAATTCCTCCTCCTGTCCAACCTGAGCCTCCCCTGGCCCAGCTGGAGGCCGTTCCCTCTCCTCCTGTCCCTTGTTCCCTGGGAGCAGAGCCCGACCCCCCCCAGCTCCCCCCTCCTGTCAGGGGGTTGCAGAGCCAGAAGGTCCCCCCTGAGCCTCCTTTTGTCCAGGCTGAGCCCCCCCAGCTCCCTCAGATATTCCTGGTGCTCCAGCCCCTTCCCAGCTCCCTTCCCTTCCCTGCACACACTCCAGCCCCTCCCTGTCTCTCCTGTGTGAGGGTGCCCGTGGATCCAGCCAGATCCCTCTGCAGGCCCTTCCTGCCCTCCAGCAGACCCACATCCCACCCACCCTGGTGTCATCCACGACCTGACTGAGGTGCCCTCAGTCCCCTCGTCCAGATCATCAATGAAGATGTTAAACAGGGCTGGTCCCAGCTCTGATCCCTGTGTGACCCCACTGGAGCCCATTCCCAGCTGGATGTGACTCCATTCCCCACCTCTCCCTGGGCCCAGGGTTATCCCAGCCAGGAACACACGTGTCCAGGCCATGGGCTGCACAGGGACACTTTTCCTTTGGGAGGGAAAGTCCTTGGCCTGGTCCCTGCAGCTCCCAGAGTTCTGTGTCAGCAGGACGGGGCCTCCACTGCAGTGTTGTGCTGCACACTTTGGCAAACACAACAAGAAGAAACAGTGGGACAGTAGTAAAATTCTCTTTGCCAGGAATTGCTTGGTTCAATATGTGTGAGAGCTTCATTTTGAGCAACACGAGCCGGGAGGATGTTCACAGCTCACCAGATCTGATCTCCTCGTGCTGCAGCCGTGTAAACCCCTCATCAATAAATCAGAGTGCACTTTAAGGGTTCTTTAGTCTCTGCCAGGTCAGCCGGAAAGCTGTCCCAGAAATTCCTTTCTCTGTGGGTTAAACCTCTAATATGATACAGCTTATGCATATTTTAATGTTGGCACCAGAGTAACTCAAATAGATTTTTCACTTTCCTCGTGCCCCTCCTCTCCCCAGTCCCACAGGGGGACCTCCTTTGTGCTCACTTTGCAGCCCAACCACCCGAGCTCCCTCTTTTCCTCCCCTGCTTCATTTTCCTTGCCTGTCTCCGTGATCCCACCTTTGTGTGAGCCTGGAGTTTGTGCCTGTGCCCACATCCAGCATTTATGGCAGGCCCAGAGCTCCGTTCCCACCTCCCTGAGGTTTGAACAAAGGGATGGGGAGCCCGGGCAGCAAACACGGCCCCGACTGTCTCCTGCCGTTTGCTCAGGGTGGATCCAGCACTCCTGGGCACTGGCAGAGCCATAACTCACTTCCTCTGTTTGCCTCAGCCCGGCCCTAATCTCCCATCCATTAGGAGTTATCTCTGAATAATGAATGGAGAATCCATTAAGGAGGGGAAAGGGCAGCTGGAGGATTTATTTCAGAAAAAAGGAAGGGAGACACTCCTCCGGGTTCTTTGCTTTTTTCCCTCCCCAGCTTTTTTCTTCCATCAGCTGAGCTCCAGTTGCCAGGAAAAGCACTGGAGGAGTTAACCCAGCGAGGTGGTTGTGGGATGTGACAAGCAGGGAGTAGCAGCTCTGTGTTGCCAATGCCAAGTTGTGTCAAACCCACGGAGAATCGTTCCCGTGGCAGCTGCTGGATCCTCCAGGAGGGAGGAATCACAGATCCCAAACATTTGGTGGGCTTGGGGAGGCTTTTCCAACGCTGTCCTGCATGATAGGAGCCAGTGAGAGGGAATGACTTGGGGGAAGGTGCTGGCAAGTGGGTACAGAACTCGTGGAGAGAGAAAATCAATGGGATGTGAGGGGAGATCTGTGGAGATGATTTGCAGGAGTTTGTCCTGAGTGTGGTGACAGGCAGCGTTTTCTGGAATCATGGAATCAGAATGGTTTGTGTTGGAAGGGACATGAAAGATCATCCCATTCCACCCCCTGCCACGGGCAGAGACACCTTCCACCAGCCCAGGTAGCTCCAAACCTTGTCCAACCTGGCCTTGGACACTTCCAGGGATCCAGGGGCAGCCACAGCTTCTCTGGGCAACCTGTGCCGGGGCCTCCCCACCCTCACAAGGGAGAGTTCCCAGCTGGGAGAAGGGGATGGGTTGCAGTTCTTGGGTTTGGGATCAGCCAGGAAAGGTGAAGTTGTGGGGTGTAAATCACATCAAGGAGTGGGTCCTGATTTCCATCGCTCCCGGCCGACTGCGGGAATGTCATTGGGAAAGTCCTGTGGAATTCAGTGCAGCCAAAGGCAGAGTCAGAGCTCAGTGTGTGCCACCAGTCCTCCCATGGCAGAGCAGTCTTGCCTCCTCCTCGGGGCAGGGAGTGGGATGAGAGAAGAGGCCTGTCTGGAGAACATCCCTGTGTGGGGCTGGAGCAGCGCCCTGGACGTGCTGGGACAGGGGCGGGCTGGAGGAGCCCACGGGGAGGGGCAGGGGAGGCCACCTGAGGCCTTTGGCCACTGAGTGAGGGCTGGGGAAGGTCTCCAGAGCACATGAGACATCTTTTGGGAGTAATATGGGTGTCCCTGGATGTTCTGTGGAGCTGGGAATGGACTGGATTTGCCTCCGAGGCCACAGCCGGCGATCCAGGCCTCGGCATGGCCCGGCCTGTCAGGACATCCCTGGGCAGGGAGTGCTCCAGTTGGGGCCTGCCCCTGGTCTTCCTCCTCTGCTCATTGCCCTTCCCTTGGTGTTGGCAGTTCCTGGAGCAGATAAGGGATCAGCTGCCTGTGTGCTGGAACAGCCTCCGGGGTCGGAGCCAAACCGGAGCTGTAACACTCATTGAGCAGAGAATTCAGAGAGCATTTCCTGCACCTCAGGAGCTCTCCTCCGTGGCATCTGTGCATCTCGAGGCTTTCCATTTACTCCCCAACTCCAGCTGATCCTTGGCCAGAAATCCAGTGTGTGAACAAATTGAATTGGCAGCTTCATGTCTGAACAGTGTCACTGAGAACTGCCCCTAAACCTGGGATCGTGTCCTCTGAAAGACACTGGAACATGAATTTAACTCCTGGTTCTCCATTTACTGACATGCAGGTTTGTTTAACCATCCTGTCAAAGATGTCAGGATGAGATGGGACAATCCAGACTGTCATTAATGCTGCAGGATCATTTTCCAGTTTATAGACATCAACACTTAACGTTACAGCACTTCTGCATTTCTGTGTCCTACACTTGGACTGAACATTTCAGGAAAATATGTTTGTGAGATCGAGTAGAATCTTTATAAAACTGATCCAAGCCCAAATTCCTCTCAGTGTGGAGTCTGAGGGTCAGGAAATGCCTTTGAATGTCTCAGCAGCTGATGGGGGAACGTGGGGAAGGGGTAGCTGGGTCAGGTCGCTGTGGGGTTGCAGTTCCAGGCTCTTGGAGAACCTGGTGCATCCCTTGGGAATGGTGCAGCAGAGCAGACACACTGATGGGTGCCCTGTGCTGCTTTCCTGACGTGGGCTGTGCCCGTTTTCCTCAGGGACACGGCGGGACAGGAGCGGTTCCACACCATCACCACCTCCTACTACAGAGGAGCCATGGGCATCATGCTGGTGTACGACATCACCAACGCCAAGAGCTTCGAGAACATCAGCAAGTGGCTCAGGAACATAGATGAGGTGGGTAAGGGGGCTGAGACCCCAGACTGGGCTGTGTGTGGTGAGCTCTGGGCACGGGAGGAGTCCCCCAGAGCTCGGGCTCTGTCCGGCCCTGGCAGAGGGTGAACACTCACCCAGGGCTTCAGGTGTCCTGTGCCCCCCAGCTGCCCCTTCAGCACTGCCAGGAGGGGCTGGGACTCTGCACAGGGGCCTGGGGTGTCCCAAAATACCAGCTTTGCACGTGGGCAGGCTCTGTGTCTGTGCTGGGGAACAGCAGGAGGGGAGGAACACCCTGGAACTGGGAGCAGCAGGTTTGGGAGCAGCTGCCAGCACCAAAGCCCTGAGCTGGAGAGGAGCTGCACAGTGTGTCACCACTCAGAGTCACTGTTTTCTGAGAGTGACTGTGTAAATCTTCTAGCTATTGTATATATATATAACCTCCACTCCCCAAAAGCCATGTCAGGAAGTGTTTGGAAGTTCCCCCTGGCTGCTGCAGGTGCCGTGGCACCTGCTGCTGGGAATGTTTGTGGAGCTGATTATTGCCCTTTTGGCACAGGAGAACCAGGACAGGGAGGCTGGGAAGTTTCAGGCAAGGTCAAGTGAAGCAGAGGAAGCTGCTGGGGGAGCACCAAGTGCCTGGATGTGCCCAAGAGTTCATCCTGCAGGAGCTCTGAGAGCATCACAACTGGCAGTTCTTGCTTTTGTGATGCTGCTCCCAGATGGAATGGGTGTTTGGGTTTTCCTGGGAAGCATGGGGGTGGCCCTGCAGAACTGGGCACAGCAGATTTGGGCTGGCAGGCGCTGCCCAGGGCAGCACTGAGGGCTGGGGAAGGCAGCAGAGCAAACACGGGATGTTGGGATTTGGATTTCCCAGCATGAAAAATGGGAAACGATCCTGTTTGTGGAAAAGTGCAGCGTGGTGGGAACAGGAGGGGGGATAAGGCAGCACAGGAAGAGACTCAGCAATGAGTTGAGTCTAAGCTTGGAACTGAGGCCTTGAGCTTCTGCAGTGGCTTTGTTAAAAACTTACTGGTGTCCAGGTGAGTGATGGGCCCCATTCACCCCCTGGGGGCTGAGAAGTGCTTTTGGTGCCCTCATGTTCTCAGTCTGTGTCACACAGACCTGGGCAGCTGATTCCAGGGGCACTGAGGGGGCTGCTCAGTGACTGTGGCTTCAAAAGGGGTGTCTGACACCTCAGGAAGCTTTCTTTTATTGTGGGAGGAGCTCAGTGCTGGAGTTGTTTGGGTTGGAGAAGCTCTGAGACCACTGAGTCCAACCCAGCCCTGCCCAGGCCTCCCCTGACCCCTGTCCCCAAGTGCCACATCCACAGGGCTTTCAAATCCCTCCAGGAATGGGGACTCCACCCCTGCCCTGGGCAGCTGTGCCAGGGCTGGACAGCCCTTTCTGGGAAGAAATTATTCCCAGGTCCTTTTCCAGCCTTCCAACTCCTCTGTCCCCAGCCTGGAGCGTTCCATGGGGTTGTGGTGACCCAGGGGCAGGACCTGGCTCTTGGCCTGGTTGTCCCTCACACCACTGACCTCAGCCCATGGCCTGGAGTTCCCTGGATCCTCCTTCCAGCCCTTCTTGAGATGGGCATCACACTGGCACCTCCAGTAGTGTGGGACCACCCTGGTTAGCCAGGGCTGGTGAGAAATGATCCATATCCCCCTGCCAGGGGCTGAATCCTGGATTCCTCATCCCTGCCCAGGCTGACCCTCTGTCCTCCTGCCCTGACACCACTCAGGAAACACCGACCCCTCACCTCCCTGCTTCCCTTTGCTGACCCCTCATCCACTCTCTGCCTTTCCAAAGCTGTTCTCCTTCTCTCCCACATTTCTCTCTGGGTCCTGCCTCCCTGTTTTCCTCCCCAGTCCCTCTTTCTCCCCTGGCTCATCCTCCTCATCGTGCAGCAGCAAAATGGGGAGGAGAAAACACTTAACCAGCTCTAGGAGGTAATTAGGAGGCTGGGGTTTAGTTACAGCTTGTAACCAGTGCACAGAGCTCAATTTTGGCAGCTGTAGATGTCACCAAATCTGAGCTGTGGGTGTTGGCCTGGCCACCCCAGAGTGGGGAAGGTGTGGGAGAGGTGTGACCCTGTCCCCATGTCCTTGACCCTGTCCCCGTGTCCTTGACCCTGTCCCCATGTCCTTGACCCTTCCCTGTGTCCTTGACCCTGTCCCTGTGTCCTTGACCCTGTCCCCGTGTCCTTGACTCTGTCCCTGTGTCCCTGACCCTGTCCCTGTGTCCTTGACCCTGTCCCCGTGTCCCTGCAGCACGCCAACGAGGACGTGGAGAGGATGCTGTTAGGAAACAAGTGCGACATGGAAGATAAAAGAGTTGTCCCTAAAGCAAAAGGTGAACAGGTGAGTGTCACACTAAAACTTCCTTATCCAGGTCAGCAAATCACTGCCAGGGCTTTGTGGCAGGTCCAGGGGTTGTGACACCCTGTGGGATGTGACAGGGAACAAACACAGCACCTGGATTTGCCGATGGGTTGTGAGTCCTGGGAATGTTTCCTTAGAACTGCCATGAATGGGATGAGTTCAGCTGTGTTTCTGCTTCTTTTGATCACTCAAAATTCCCAGACATCCTTTAGGTTCCTCACCACGTGACAGTGTGTGCTGTCCATCCCCTCACTCCCAAACTGTGATTATTGAATACACTGGAATTACTGTTACTGAACCAGGAGGTTCTGAAACCTCTTCTGAGCCACCTTGTCTGGCTGGTGCTGCTGGGGCTGGGACAGTCACAGCATCCCAGAATTCCTGAGGCTGGAAAAGCCCTCCCAGCCCATGGATCCCACCCTGTGCCCCATCCCCACCTTGTCCCCAGCCCAGAGCACTGAGTGCCACGGCCAGGCCTTCCTGGGACACCTCCAGGGCTGGGCACTCCAAACCTCCCTGGGCAGCCCCTGCCAAGGCCTCACCACCCTTTCCAGCAGGAAATTCCTCCTCCTGTCCAACCTGAGCCTCCCCTGGCACAGCTGGAGGCCGTTCCCTCTCCTCCTGTCCTTTGTTCCCTGGGAATTGGGGCCCCCCCCGGCTCCCCCCTCCTGTCAGGGGGTTGCAGAGCCAGAAGGTCCCCCCTGAGCCTCCTTTGCTCCAGGCTGAGCCCCCCCAGCTCCCTCAGATATTCCTGCTGCTCCAGGCCCTTCCCAGCTCCCTTCCCTTCCCTGCCCACGCTCCAGCCCCTCCCTGTGTCTCCTGTGTGAGGTCCCAGAGCTGCCCCAGCATTGGAGGTGCCCCAGCAGTGCCAGCACAGGGAGGGCACTGGCCTGGCCCTGCTGCCTCAGCAGTGCTGGGACAGCCCTGGGGCCATTTGGATCAGGTTCCTGCTCAGTATTCCTGCTTTATCCATGCCGCTGATCCCAAGGCAGTGGCAGCACCTCTGGAATATCTCAGCTCACTCTGCTCCTTCTCTCTTTGCCCAGATTGCCAGGGAGCACGGTATTAGGTTTTTCGAAACTAGTGCAAAAGCAAATATAAACATTGAGAAGGCATTCCTCACGTTAGCAGAAGACATTCTTCGAAAGGTAGGTGCTCACAGCATTCCTTTGAAACAACAGCCCCAAATCTCACCTCCCCTTGCTTTTGATGTTCACCTGAGCCCTTGCAGCCTCTGCCTTTGGTGTGCTGAGGCAAAAAGTCCCTGAAGGAGCAGTGTTGATATTCTGAAGCCTGTTTGATGTTTTGCTGTTGTGGGGGTGGTACCTGCAGGGGATAATCCACATCAAAGAGCCCAGGAACTCAGATTCCTCCTTGTTTGCCCCTTAAACTCGTGGTTGTGTCGTCCTTGTCCTTGCAGTTCAAACATTCCCACTGGCGAGGTGAGAACTGTCCTTGCCCTGCCACCATCTCTGTCAGCTGTCAATGCACAGCCTTGTCCCAGAACTCCTGAGGGCCTGTTGGGAAGGGTTCAGGTGTGGGGGGAGCAGAGGGATGAGCTCTGTCTCTCCCAGTGTCGTTCCCAGGGATCAGCTCCAGCTCTGCCTTTCCCTGGAGGTTCTGTTGCTCCAGTTCATCTGGGGCTTGGTTTCCCTCCCTGGAGTGGGCAGTGTCCCACAGAACCATGGGATCTTTGAGGTTAGAAAAGCCCCCTGGGAGCACGGAGTCCAGCCATGCCCCAGCACTGCCAAGGCCACCACTGACCCACATGGAAGCTCAGGACACGTGGATTGGCCAACGCTGGCATTGGTGCTTCTGCTCCTGCTCTAGTGAAACCCATCCCAAGCCTCATCCCTGTCTCCCTCCCACGGGAATGCTGCTGGCAGTGTCACCCCCTTGTCACTGCAGCTCTCAGTCTTTTCTTAATCAGTTTTTGACAAGCTCTGTGTGAGGGACTGGGTGAAAATCCCTGGCCTTTGGTAGACGGGAGGTTGGGCTACAAATCACGCCGACCCTTTGGACCTTAAATCTTCATCTCTGGCCTCTGTAATCATCTGAACATCTGGGGGGTTCTTTTGCAAGGCTGTGACAGAGAGTTAAAAAAGGGATAGAGAGACTCAAGTGTGTGGAGTTCAGTTGAGGTTCATTTCCAAGCAGCTGGAAGTAGCTGTTGGTGTGGGATCAAACCCACTCGAGGGGTTTTTGCTCTGGTCCCGCTGAGCTCCATCCTGTGATGTGGAGGAATCTGTGTGTCCTCTGCCTCGGGAGCTGCTGTCCTGAGGAGCAGGAAGCAGAGCTTGGAACAGCCCCTCTTCATCCATAAAAACTGTGGTTTTTGAAGGTCATTAGTTCACATAATTTGAGTTCAGCTCGTGTTGGTCGTAGGCTGGGATTTATTTACTCCGCCGAGTCCAGCGCCAGCTCCGACACAGGAACTAAAATAGTTCCAGTCGACTTTGGGGTGGTCCAAGTTCAAACACTGGGGTTTTTTTCCCAGCTTTGCAGTTGTTTATTTAAAACAAACCCAACAACAACAAAAAAAAAAACCCTTAAATTGGTTTTCCATGTCTGTGCTGGAGCGGGGGGAGGATTCCCTGCCTCTCTGTGGAGCTCTTTGTGTGCGGTTCATCCCCGTGTCCTCTGGTGATGTCAGTCCTCACTGGCTCTCCAGCCCTCAGTGCTTTCCCCCGGAATCTCCCCAGCCATCTAACTCTTCTCACTTGTTTCCTTGCAGACCCCTGTAAAAGAGCCCAACAGTGAAAATGTAGATATCAGCAGTGGCGGTGGGGTGACGGGCTGGAAGAGCAAGTGCTGCTGAACCTTCTCCTCTCTCACCAATCGCCATCCACCGCCCCTTTTTTCTCGCTGCAAAACAAACCACTCTGCCCGTTTTTTAACCTTAAACCGATGTTTTGTTCCTCATCTTAACGAGCTCCTGCCTCCCCCCTGGTTTTCCGGCTAGGACAGCTTTGCCTACTCCAGTTTTTCTCAACCACATGTATAGGAAAATCCATCTCCGTGACTTCATTTTCCACCTTCCTGCTCAACTCACCACTACGTTTGGGTTGTATTATAGCCCCGTCCCTCCTGCCATTAAACCCCAGAGCAATCATACTCAACTCTTCTGCAAATTGTATAAGAATAAAAGTTAGAATTAACAATTGATTTTGTACGACAGTGGAATTTTCTGTCATGGATCATGTGCTTGAGTCCCCATATTCTCTAGACGCATCAGCAAGAGCCAGGAAAACACTCATTTTCGCCTTGAGTCCATGAGTGGGGTTTCTTTGTCCTGTGCCTTATGTGGAAAAAGGAACTTTTATTTTCACTTTCTTTTCTTTTTTTTTTTCTGGTGGAAGCATGTGCAGGAGACATCCCATCCCCCCCGTGCCATTGAGCCCCGACCTCTGTAGTGATTGCTTTCTGTGCCCCTTGGTGTCATGCATCGAGGACAAAGGGTGGTGCAAAACAAAAAGCAGAATCCATGTAACCTGCTGTGTCTCCTCTTGGCGATCCCGCCGCTCCCAACTCTTCCTGCTGCCATTTTCTTTTCTCACTTTGCCGCTCTTTCCTTTTTTTTTTTTTGTTGTTTTGGTTTTTTTTGGTTTTTTGGTTTGTTTTTTTTTTTTGCCTGCATGCTGCTTTGATTTGCATTTCTTCATGGTGTGATGTGTTAATGAAAAAGGATGGCAACGCGGAGTGTTTGCCAAAAAACTTAATACAAAGCACTGATTTAGCTCCCGAGGTAACGATGTGGAGATCCCCCACTAACCCCTCTAGCCGTGTCCGTCACTAGCAACCCCCCTCCCGCACAGCCCCGCGGGCTCCCCCCCCTATGGAAGAGTTATTTGCATGCACTAGTTTCTCTGGAGGGTGATGTGGTTGTCTTACTTTTCTGTGTATGAATATAACAAGCGACTCCCAAACCGACAGCAGTTCATTAATTAACACGAGCTCCGAGGGTCTCTCCCCGTCAGCCGCTCCGAGGGGTTCGGGAGCCGAGCGAAGGGGCCGAGCGGAACCGGATCGAAACAGAAGGAGAGGAAAAAAAAAACAAAAACCAGCCAGTTTGGCAGTTTAATTTATCACCTCCCTGCAAACGTTCCACTCCGCAGCGTTGGCAGAGTCAGCCCTGCCCTGGATCCGGCGCTGGGAGCGAGGGGCTGATCCCGGCGGGGCCGCTCTGCCCGGCATGGACTGGCTGTTCCAGCTCGTCTTCCCTGTCTCTGGTGTCACCCGCGGCCGGGGGCTCCGTCCTGGCTGAAGGAGGGCTCAGTTCTGCCGGTCCCAGAGCCCCGCGGGAGCCGCCGCGTTCAATCCGTGTTCAATCCTTGTTCAATCCCACCTGGAGCCGGAGCTCTGGCCACGGACACGCCGAGGGTGGACACGCCGCTGCCTCCCCAGCTGCTGCCTCCCCAGCCCCGCCTGCTCCTCCCGGGACAAGCCTGTGCCTCCTGGTGCCCGCGGGGCCGGGACTGTCCGGTTGCGGCGCTTGGGTAACGCTGAGTGAATTTTAATGAAATGAAATGACGGTGTTTCAGTGGAACTCCTCCTTCGGAGCGGCTTCCCCGGAGCGACCCCACCGAGGCGTCTCCTCCCCCTGTAGTAACTCACCGAGGTGTCCCCCTGTCCCTCTGTAGCTGGCATTTTGTCCCCGTGTGTGTTTTAACCCTTCCCAGGCGAGTGGCCGGCGGGGCCGGGCCGGGCGCTCAGCGTTGGGCAGAGCCCGGGCCGCTTTTGGTCAAACCTGCACTTTCTGACGTGATCAAAAAGGGAAAAAAAAAATGGCGAATATACATCAAGGGTTTTTTTTGTATAATCCTTGTTTTAAACGTGAGCTCCTTACCTGCTCCCAGGGGCTCGGCTCCCTCCGTGTGACCCCTTTGTGAGCCCCAGGTGGAGCCCAGGCCGCTCGCTGGTCCCACTCGCTGCCGCCCCCCCGATCCCCTCCCCCTGCCCGGTTAATAAACTGAAATCTTTCTATTTGGTCTATTTTCTGTTCCTGTCCAACCACGAGCTGTACCCGCGGGCGTGGGCTCGAGCAGCACGAGTCGGTGCCGGTGCTGAAAAGAGATAAAACCCCCCCAAAAAAACATAACGATGTTGGAGGAATTCGCGGTGATTTGATATTTGTGCTGGTGTCTGAACTCCCTGCTGGGCACAGCCCCTCCCCGGCCCCGGGGCAGAGCCGAGGGTGGGAGGTGGCAGCAGCCCCTCGGCGCTGCCTTTCTGCCACAAAAAACGATTCAATCGGGCCTGACAAACCAAACCTGAGCTTGGCTCTGTCCCACGAGTGTCACGGCTCCCCCGTGCCCTCGGACTCGGACGGTGGAATAATAAAAAACAGCATCAAGGTCTTGGATTAATTCCCATGCGACAATTTTTTACTTAATCTTTTAATATTTTTGCTACTCCACTCTGGCTTTTTATTTAAAACACATTCTTTTGTACCACTTACTGTATCAAATTGTATAAAAAGATCACTGTCCCATTCTTGGTCGTACCAAGAGCAAATAAAAGCTTTTATAAACTTGCACTGGTGACTTCCTGGACCCCCTTAAATTCCCCCCGGCTGCCCCTGGAGGAGGTGGGATGGTTCCTCCCCCCTCCCGAACCTTCTGGCTGGAGGTAGAGCTGCTCCTCCTGCCTTTCCCAAAGCTGCAGGGGGGTGTTTTCCGAGGGCAGGATGGTGGGAAGTGCCGTGGTGTGTCCGACACCGCTGCATCCCCACATGGAGCCCCCGTGGGTGGGCTCCACTTGGGTCTCCACGGGGACAGGACCTTTGCCAACATTTCCAGGGAAAGCAGCTGTTCCAGCCCATCCCTCTGCACCCCCGTTGGTCCCACGGGTGGGAAGCACGGGTGGGCTCTCCAGGATCCCCCAGTGCCATTCCGGCACTCACAGCCCAGCCCATGTCCCTCCCTCCCTTGTCCTTACCGTCCCCTCTCCCACAGCCCCCGGGACTGGGGGTGTCCCCGGGTCTCCTGCAGCCTTTGTGGGGCCGGGGGTGTCACTGCCCTGCAAAACCCAGCAGGGGCCCGTCCCTGTGGTGGCAGAAACGCTTCTGCTGCTGCCACGGTGTCCCTGTTCCCATGGTGTCCCTGTTCCCTTGGTATCCCTGTTCCCTTGGTGTCCCTTCTTCCACGGTGTCCCATAAACCAGAGTGTCCCCGCTGCCATGGTGTCCCTGCTGCCCCAGTGTTCCCGCTGCCATGGTGTCCCTGTTCCCATGGTGCCGGTATCCGGGAGAGGCCGGTTTTGTGCTGCTGCTGGTGGGAATAAAGCCGTGAGTGTGTCACAGCCGCGGCCCCGGCAGCCCCTGGGTCCCCTCGCGGGGAGCAGCTCAGCGATCCCAAATCCCCCTCGATCCCTGGGGGTGGGAAGGGGGGTCCCTCCGGCTCGGGGACGGGGGCTCAGGGGTGGGGGGCCCTGCGGAGCCATCGCTGTGAACGGGGGGAGATTGTGTGAGAGGGGCTCGGGAAGGGGGGACCCGGCGGGGATCTTCCCCCACGGGCTCCCGGTGTCCTGCTTGTCCTTGTCATCCCTGTCAGTGAGCCCTGAGTTTATCCTCCTGCTGCTGTATCCTCCCTGCCGTCCCCTTCCCTGCTCCATCCCTGCCGCTGTTCCCTCCCTGTCCCTGCTCCTCCCCTGTACCTGCTCCGTCCCCTTCCCCGCCCCTTCCCCATCCCTGCTCCGTCCCCGTTCCTGCCCCTTCTCCGTTCCTGCTTCATCCCTGTGCCAGAGCTGTCCCTGCCGGGGGGG